GAATTCCAGCCTCCTTTAGTGGGCTGCTGTATGTATCCCGTAGTAAAAGCTTCTAAGAATGAACTTCCAGTAGGTGATATCATAATTTGTAGTGTTTCCATGTTACTGAGCTGCAATACTTAGCTGTCATGCTAAGAATTTAATTGACTATCTCATCATATCAGCTTTGCTATTTTAAGAGCTGCAGAGCATGTGATGGCTTCTTTTATCCTTGAAATGTTTCTCAGCTACAGCACTTTTAAAATCTCTAAGAACCACAGTGTAATAAAAAGCCTATGGAGTACAATTTATATGACTTTTTTAATCCTGAAAGTAGTGCTAATGTAACAAACATTTGGGGCTGTTACACTAGTGAAAATATATTTAGGACTCTGACTTGTAAACTACTCCATAAAAATGTCGGCAACTAAGATGGTACTGTATCCATTTGTCCTCCAAACTCCGGTTGACTTTTCTTCATAGCAGAGACAACAGAATGGAAAAGGTGCTTGCTTCTCACTGCATTGATTTACTACCCAATGCTTCCATGCAGACTCCCCTTTGTCAACAGTTTAAGGCAATACATGTATTAGAGTATGAACTGGAAACCTAAGGCATGGGTATGTGTTCCCTTCTGATTGTTGCCAGCCTTTGTTTTACTCTCACCCAGAAAGACTTGTTCAGATTTGTCTCTCAGAGCCTTTTAGCTAGATTTCCATAACAAAACATTACTGTCATAGCTCTATTAGCTCAGGATGTGGAAAAACTTAAATCTCTTGTATAGACATAGCGATTCCAGTAGGAAAAAGACTTTGTCTGATTGTTTCACACTTGTATATGCAGAAAAATATATTCAAGTAGCTATTCATCAGACCATTATCGTGTACTGGCATGTACCAGGCCTTGTATAATACAAAGATTAGATTGTCTTCATTGGGAACTTTTTATACTGATGTAATTCACATTCACCATCCCAGACTAGCACAATCTAAATCACAGGAATACTTCAGATTGCAATTAAAAGATTATGTATTTGCGTAACCAAATCTGGTGTAAAACAACGTTGATTGTTTAAACTATTGCAATGCTTAACGTGGCCACATCCATTAATACTGGACCTGTGAATTGCCAGATCTCCTGTTATGATAAAGTTGGCCTAAGTAAAATAAGAGTGCATGGTTGCATTTCTGTACATATATGGGTACATGACATAGACTCTAGACCACCTTTATGTCATCTGTGAGACAACAGATGGTAATTGATCTGGCATAAATTTTGCTCAACGGTTAAAGGAAACTTATACCAGTTTGACTATTTGAGGCAGTAACTTTTTAACATGATAGTAAGTATCCTAAAACCGCATGTGCAACCACAGCCTCTTAGTATTCTGAGTCTATAGCAGTCACAGCAGAAAATACCCTAAAGCTGAGCTTTATTTCAGCTCTTTTGGTTGAGCCTTGAAAACAGTTAAACCGATTTCCATCCTTCCTGTACCATCCAGCTGTCTTGGTGTTGAACCTACAGCACAGGTTATGAACCATTCACAGCTTCAGACCTCTCCCATGTATCTTTGATGGTCCTAGAGGAGTGTTATCATGTGTGCTATCAGGTATATCACAATTACCACAGGTGATAGGGAAACTGAGCATAGAAGGATGTAAATATTTTCCACAGGCAGCAGCAGAAGCAAGAGTTTGTAGGAGGGCCTGGAATCCAGTCTTAATTTCTACTCTCTGTGCAGTTTTTTCAGTGCTGCTAAATTGTCGCCGCATAGTGCTTGTTGCCAAAAGAAGCTCCTGACAGCTGTCTAAAAAGTTTTGATGCATTTCTGCTTTAGACATAAGGCAACTTGGCTACATGAAAAGTTTAAGTAAACAATAAAACCTCTTGAAAAAAGCTTTGCTTCTGACATTGGCAAGAATGACAGTGGAATCCAATAAACGTTATCACGGGCCCAGCATAAAAGTATTTCCAATATACTGCTAACTTGTAAAAGGTATTATCTACATAGAATTTCCTTCTTGGAACTTTTTTCTTCTTCGTCTCTCTTCTGGCAGTCTTTTTTCTGGTGTTTTTAAACAAAACAACAGTTTGGTAGTGTTTTTCAGAAGATGTATTTTTAGTCAGGGAATAGATTGTTCCATGAAAATCCTCAGCACAAAAATGTATATTGCTTTATTTAAAAACAGGACTAATGGGGTCTGATACATCACTGTGACACCTACTCTAGCTTCTTTCTTCCCCACGGCTTTCAGGTTATTTGCCTTTCTCTTAAAGTTGCTTGCATTAATGCTGTACCAAAAACAAACACAGGGAGAAATGAGGAAGGTGCCAAGAAAACAAAACTAAATAGATTTTTTTTTCCTTTTTCTCCCAAAGGGAATGGGTCTTATAAATCATGTCTTCAACGCAGACAGCCTGAAGAAGCTGTATGTTTCAAACCTTGGTATTGGGCACACGAGGTACTCCACCTCGGGAATTTCGGAGCTGCAGAACTGCCAGCCTTTTGTGGTAGAGACTCTTCATGGGAAGATTGCTGTGGCACACAACGGGGAGCTAACAAACGCTGTACGACTCAGGAGGAAGGTTAGTGTCTCCTTTGGGAGGCGTTGGCAGCGTTTCTTTCTGCGTATGAGGCAGCAATGAACAAGTTTGCTATGACTTTTCTGTCATACCAGATTGCTTGGGGTAGTGAAAGAGCCCCATAATCAATATCGATCATTTTGGGGGAAAAAATGTCCTGGGGAGGGGAGACATTTGAAACTGTCACAGGGGATAATTCATCATTCCTCTAGCCTGGTGGTCACATTACTACTGATCAAGTGAGAAAACTAACCCAGCCATAACAAAAGGTAGCTTGGCTTGAAGCTCTGCTCCTTTGTGGTGACTGACAGAAGGTGTAAATCATATGCTTAAAGTCAGGAGAGGCATAATAAGGTGAGGTAATTGTAATATGAAATATCTGGTTTAGAATATTGTTGTTATTTTTATTGCTGGCTTGCAAAATTAATCATGAGCACTGTGAGGACATAAACCAACAAAGGCCAAATTTTATAGTATGTTGGGCTAGAATGATATGTGTTGAAGAACCAAATTAAAATTTAGCAGATGTTTCGTTGTGAAATCTCTTCTATGGTATGTTCCATCCAAAAGCAAGAGGACATACTCTTGCATTGAAGTGAGGCAAATGTGTGGCATGCCCAAAGGAACCCAGCCCATCTTTAATCAGAGCCAAAAGTGTATGCATGGATGGGAGAAAAAACTGTGGTGAGGAAATGTAGATGGAGAGAGGAGATCAGAGTTACATGAGAGGTAAAATGATTTCTAAAGATAAAAATTAGGAACTGTATTGCGTACAGCATTGAATGAGTTGTAATAGTTGGCTAGATACACTGCAGATTCTCCTCTCCTTTAGAAATGTAAATATGCCAAGCCAGAACAATTTGACTGCCCAGGTCTAGCAGACTTTAAATTGTGGGATTTCAGGTTTTTAATCCCACTCTGCTTCCCTTCACACCTCTTTTTTTGTTGTTCTTGCATTGTGCCAAAACCACCATTCTGCTATAGGTAATTTCACATTTTCCTTTGTATATTTTACCTTTTTCCAGGGCAAGCAGAAGCACAAAGCTGATTAAATGGTCCAAACACGAATTTATGCCCTGAATATTGGTGGTATTTAATTTTGGTTGCATGTGGAGCAAAAGAATGAGCTGCAAAGGGAGAAACGTAGTATCAGGCATACTGATACTAACTCTTCTTACATGTTTGATTTGATGGAAGAAATTTGACATTATGATCTGATCACCTGAAGCACTGATATGTTTTAAAACATTTGTTCATTGCACAAAGGGATTGTTAGATTAAAATCTGAGCAGTGTTATGTGGGATTTTTTTTTAATGTTGGTAACTCTTTTGTTTTGTGTCTTACAAGCTCATGCGGCATGGTGTGGGACTGTCGACCAGTTCTGACAGTGAACTGATCACCCAGCTGCTGGCTTTCACACCTCCTCTAGAAAATGACGATACAGCTGATTGGGTAGCAAGGTGAGGAGGATGGGCTTCAGAATAAAGAACAGCAATCTAACTTCAGTATGATATGCAACTGTAAATGCACACAGCTGTTTGTGTGACACACCATTATGTTCACCTATGTCTCATTTCAGAATAAAAAATTTAATGAATGAAACTCCAACTTCATATTCATTGCTAATTATGCATAAAGACATAATCTATGCAGTACGTGATCCATATGGGAATCGCCCACTCTGCATTGGTCGCCTTATTCCAGTAGGGGACATGAATGGAAAAGGTAAACCATACATATATATAAATATACATATATATGTATATATATAGTCTGTGCCTGAAATCACTGATATAAGTAATTAAAGCTACACTTACTGAGGTGTAAATAGAAATATGTGATGCAAAAGTCAGTTTTGAAAATTCAAACCAAAAATATATGTCGGTAAGGAAAAGAAAATATGTGGGAAATCTACAAACATCTTTTCTGTTCCCAGCAAAAGGAAATCCTAGTTGCCTCATGACAGCGCCAGAATTAGGCAGCCCAACCGTAATAGAATATTTGTGAAAATTTAATTAACATCTCATCATCTAAACAGGAAAGCAGGGATGAACAGATTCACAGAAGAGTTGGAGGGCCAGCTGCTCAGGACTATGTCCAGTCCAGAAACAAGTCTGGTCTCTTCCTTTCTTCTGTAGGAAGGTGGCTGAAAGGTGCTGGGTTACTGGCAATGTACTTCCAAATTCCAAGCACTCCCAGTCACACGTAATATGGTAATGGAACACTATATAATCAGTTAATGGGAAAAATTTGTTGTGTTCCTGTTTAGCCTTCAAATCAACCTTTTCCATGAAGTGAGATTAAAGTCCTCTCATTTGTATAAAAATAAAATAATCCAAAGGCAAAGTAGTAAATTCTTCCATATCTTCACAAAACTTGGTAATTTTAACCACAAGAAAAATTATTGTTTTAAAGCATACAAACATTCCTACCCTCTGTTACACTATTTGATCTTTACTGTGCCAGTCTCTGAAAACCCTCCTTACTGGAGTTCAGTCCAGCATTGATTGTAATCAAAAGCATCTATCTTATCATCACATTTAGCACGGGAAAAGTAAGGAGTTTCTTGTGTGAAAAAAGTAATTCTATAGATCTAAAGTCACTGAACTAGAATTGGAAAATTTCAAAATAGTGCAGGGATAACAAAGGTAGTTACCTGAACTGTCCCTCTTCATGAGTGGTGAATACGATGCTGTTACTTCCACTTCTGCCTAGAACAGGTTTATGATGTTTAAATTGTTTGGGGTTTTTTTAAGTAATATTACAGAAACTTTGGAATGCTATACCTTTCAGTTAGAAATTACAACAGTCTTTAATTGTGCACTTGGCAACCTAAACCATAGCAAGCCAGATACTGCAGTAGAAATGCAACTGGGAGGGGGGATGGTAACGAGAACTGTGGACTCTAACTGAAGTCTTTCGTTTCAGGAAAAGATAACAGTGAAACAGAAGGTTGGGTAGTCTCTTCTGAATCCTGTAGCTTTTTGTCTATTGGTGCAGAGTAAGTGCCCTGATTCTCACTTTATCTGAAAGCTCTCCTCAGGTAGTGATTAAACATTAAACCTCAAATTACCAGATATCATAATCTATAAAAATGTAAAAGATATCAAGGATCAGTTTGTTGGGCAGTTTGGAGGGTTTTTTTTTGCCAGTCCTGTTTTTTGCCAGTTTATTTTCTTGAACACATTAATGTAAAAGAACAATTATGTGTTCAGAAAGTAACAGTAAAGGCAACTTTATTGCTGTAAAGTGACTGCTTCTCACGTGTTGCATTAAACCTGGTTATCCATATAACTTTTAAATTTTAGCCTCGTTTGCAGCAGAATTGCTGTACTACGAAATAATTCTTCAACTACAGAAAGGTTACATTGGTAGCTCACAGGCTGGACTGACCTGAGCTGTAGCATATGCTGTCCAATGAGCCAGTCTTGTTTGAAAATAATGATGGGCATTTGAAACTATTTCCACGCGTGCAAACACCCACGAGAGCCAAAACATGAGAGGACATTCACATTACCTCTCTAAAACTCTGAAAACAAAGGTGTGATACTTTCTCTGGACAAAAAGAGAAGGGTAAGAGGCTCTTTGGGAGACCACAAATTGATCTTTAGAAGTTTGGAGTGGAAGGCAGTTGTGAACTAGAACATAAATAAAGTAAGAAAGATTATAAGGAAGCATATTTAATTTCCTAATTGAACATTATCAAAATGTGCATTTAGGGACTAGACTAGTAAGTAAAGTTGGAGTCTCTTCAAACAAAAAGCTGTGAAAAATTGTATTAGGAACACAACTACTGAATAAAAAGAAAAGTGAACCAAAATCAGGAAGCAACGTTACTGTACTTTAAAGGGCTTTTATTTCATTCTGCAGTGTTTTATTGTAGGTGTGGTCTTCTGTGTTCTTTTGCTGTTAACTTCTACCCTGTCTCTGTAGGAACTATTAGCTGTTGGTAACAGTGACTTTCTTGAGACAGTTTATTCTACATATGGATAAGAATAACCATTTTCTGAAAGTTCTTCAAAATCTCTGTTAAGAGAAGCTTACTATGTAGGACCATCAGCTGAAGCCTGTGGGATTTTAAAAAAGCAACTTTATCTAAACTTCTGCTATAGCCAGTGCTGCTGTCTCCTAATGCTAGTATTTGACCAGCGAATAATCACAGATTTGCCTACCTCTGATTTATATCTTCAGAATGTTTTAATACTTGGGGATAAATTTACATTGAAATTGTTAGAATAGCCACCTGAGGACTCACCAAAGGATCTAGAAAAATGTTTAACAAGGTTAAACATTGTAATATAATAAACCTAGTACTAATCCATTTTTCTTCAGATATGAGAACTGGAATGTACATTTCCAGTCAGCTTTATGTCATTCGCAGGTAGCTGCCTGTCACCACTGGACAGATACTTCTCTAGATACTGGCTTGTGGGGCAGCGTTTTTTTGGCTACCATCTTTATTCTTGATTATTTTTTTTATATTGCATTATAATGATTATCAGCTTTCATAGAAACGGCCTCTAGTATTGCTCCAGGACTAAATTATTAATATATATTTAATCTTTATTAAGCCTGTGCTAGACTGAGTACTGTACATCTTGCTTACAGGAAGAATACTATAATTCTTTGGTACTAAGCATTAATTTCATAGAATCATAGAATGCATTGAGCTGGAAGGGACCCCCAAAGGCTATCTAGTCCAACCCCCCTGCAGGGAGCAGGGACATCTTTAGCTGGATCAGGTTGCCCAGAGCCCCATCAATCCCGATCTTGAACATCTCCAGGAATGGGGCTTCTACCACCTCTCTGGGCAAACTGTTCCAGTGCTTTACCACCCTTACAGTAAAGAACTTCTTCCTAACATCCAATCCAAATCTACCCGTTTCTAGTTTAAAACCACTGACCCTTGTCCTATCACTACGTGCCCTTGTAAACAGTCCCTTCCCAGCTTTCCTGTAGGCCCCCCTCAGGTACCAGTAGGCTGCTATAAAGTCCCCCCGGAGCCTTCTCTTCTCC